TGCAGCCAAAGGGATCCGAGCAGGGAAGCACAGAGATCCCAGGATGCTCAAAGAGGGCAACACCACAACAGTCCTCCCCGAGCCACCACTGACCTGGCTGGATAGCCCCAGCCCCTCCAAACCCTTTGGATGGCTGCAGGGAGACCATTCCCAGATCTCCTGCGGGCAGGAGCCACGGCACCGGCGCTGAGAGCAGTTCCTTCACCTCAATCTCCCCACAGAGCTCTGAAGGTGACTGGAGGGGACCCCTGGCCAAACGGGGGGTCCCTCCATGGGGCTCCAACAGCAGTGCCCAGCAGAGGACCAGCAGAGGACCAGCAGCTCTGTCTGGTGGCTCCAGAGCTGGGCTTCCAAGCTCCCAGCACAGCTCGGGTGGCACTCACCTGACCCCGGGAGCTGCCAGCACCACCACCAATGCCACTGCCAGGGCCAGCAAGGGGCAGGTCCTGCTCCAGGCAGGATCCAGCTGGGAATCCAGCTAGGAATCTGAGAGGCACAGGGCCTCCACAGCCGTGCTCAGGCCCTGGCTCACCCCCCCCACGGCCAGCAGGCAGTTCCGCACCACGATGCTGGAGCAGGCACAGCGCGGGGTGGGCATGGGGGGGAGGCTCTCCCACTTGTTCTTCTCGGGGTGAAAGGCCTCTGCAGACTCCAGGACGGTCGGCTGGTTTCCTGGAAGCACAGAGTGAGGCACTGGGTTACCTGGGAATACCCACTGAGCATCCCTTGTGTGCTCTGCACCCCATTCCCTTATGGGGTTGGTTTTCCCTGCTCCCTCCAGCCAGCCAAGGTGAGGATCTCTCCTCTTTGTGACAGTAACACATGACCCACACTTGGCTTCAGAAGTGTTCCCAGCACCCCCAGTGCCTCACCTAGTCCCCCAGCCACGACAACTCTGCCTTTCAGGTACCCAGCCACGAAGTCTGCTCGCCTCTTCTTCAGGTAGCAGGAGCGCTCCATCTTCATCCAGCCACCTGGGAGGGACAGGACACACTGGGTGTTATGGGAGCATCCACTCCTGGAAAACCCCTCTGACCTTCTTGCCTGAGGGAGTGCAGTTCTGCTGCTGCACCCCGGGAGATGGGTCGGGTCCCTCATCGCCAGGTCAGGAGGCAGCTGTTGAATCCAGCCCCCTCTGGACCATGGTCTCCCCTTTTCGCTTGTTAATCCTGACTTAATCCAGGCCATCCTCTAGGCTGGGTTCAAGCACCAGCAGCCCCAGGCCTCAGCAGGTGAGNGAGATGGGTCGGGTCCCTCATCGCCAGGTCAGGAGGCAGCTGTTGAATCCAGCCCCCTCTGAACCATGGTCTCCCCTTTTCGCTTGTTAATCCTGCCTGCAGGCCTTCCTCTAGGCTGGGCTCAAGCACCAGCAGCCCCAGGCCTCAGCAGGTGAGAGCTCTGTGCTCTGCAAGGCCAGCAGAGCCCCGAGCCCAGCCCCACCTTGCTCCACGTCGAACACGTCCACGGTCCTCATGAACTTGGGCTGCCTGTAGAGCCGCCCCTGCCGCAGCCCCCCGAGGCTGAACAGCCTGTCCTCCGTGGGCACGAAGCTGGAGAAGGCCCTTTTGTTGGGAATGTTGGGAAACTTGGTCCACGACCTGGTGTCCGTGTCGAAGACCTCGAAGGCATTGACGGCGTACTTGGACTGCCTTCCACCTGGGAGAGGGGGAGGAGAGGGTCAGGGCAGGCACCACAGGAGCTTCCCGGGCTCTCAGGTCACCTGCTGAGCCTGGGAATTTTTCACCTCTGCGCTCCCTCTCCTTCAGCTGCGGGTTCATGCCATGAAACCTCTTCATTTCCCAGCACATCACCCCCCCGGCAGAGCCGCTGGCACAGGGAGGTGTTTGGTGTGCGCTGGTTAAATCATGACAAATTCCCAGCAGAGCGGGGATCAGGCTCGGGGAGCCTTTGCAATTCAGATGAGCTCGGATCCAGCGAGCCCTGGCCTTGCTGCCAAGCTCCTGAGAGCAGGAGAGCCAGAGCAGCTGCTGCTCCCCCTGCCAAGGACCCACATTATCCCTGCACCCATCGGGCTCAGATGAAGGCAGCTATTCTCAGCCTTTGAAGGCAGAGCCTGCGCTCGCTCCCGGCCTCACAGACTGTTCCCCAGCAGCCAGCAAAGTGCAAAATAGATCAAAAGCTCTTTTCTGGTCACCCCTCAAGCAAACCAGGGCTGTCTGGCCATTGGAGAAATCAGGACTGGTGTGTTTTGATCCTGACGTGCCGTTTGGCCACGAGCTGACAGCAACATTCCTCTGCCTCAGTTTTCATTTCTACAAGGCAAAACTCATGGAAATCATCCCCTGCAAAGGGCTTGTTCCAGCTCAACTACACAGGTCTTTCCTCTGCCAAAGGCAGTCCCTTTGTGAAGCTGCTGCTGCTATAAAATGCACAGAAGTGTTTATTTATTGAAGTATTCTATGCATCAATTGAGTCCAAGGGCTTTTAGCACAGTCACAGGGCTGCCAACCAAGCAGGCAAACACCACTGCACCCTCATCTTCCAGCAGTGTGGGGAGGGGGACAGGGGACCCCCCCACCCAGCACGGACCTGTGAGCTCCTGGGGTGCTGGAGGGGCTCTCCTCTGTGCTCATCACGGAGCTGTGAACCCAAACCCGCCCCAAAACCCCCCAGTGCTTCTGAGGGCGTGAGAAATCGGGGAAGGATGGAGGAGAACGTCCCCAAAAGCCTCTTCCAGGGAGGTTCTCAGTGCTCAGATCAAAGGAGGAGGAGGAGGAGGAGGAGGAGGAGAAGGCAGGGCTGGTCCTTACCCAGCACGTAGATCTTGGTGCCCCTGAGGAAGGAGGTGGCAGCGTAGCGGGGTGTGGGCATGGCTGCCAGGGACACCCAGATGTCCTTGAGCATGTCATAGTGCTGCAGGAAGTTGTGTGGCCGCAGGTCAGACCCCATCCCACCAGCTGCATACACCCTGTAGTCTGGACAGGGCAAAAAGCAAAAAAAAAAAAATCCCAATATTACGACAAAAAAGCACCAGAAATCCCCGCCCTGCAAAAACACACCTGGCCTCTCACCCCACACTGACCCTGCCTTATCAGTCAGGAGAAGCTTATTCTCAGACTGGAAAATCATCCCCAGGATGGTAAACATTATTTTTAAGCATTCCTTGACTGTAGCTTTTAAAGCCACTTAAGCAAACAAACCAAGCAGCTTTCAAAGGAGCTGCCTGGAGATTAGATCCCTAATCCCGGGGCACGGCGGGAGCTGCCTGACCTCGGGAACACAGCTCCCAGCCCAGGCTCTTCCAAGTAGGGCAGAGCACACCAGAGGAAGTCAGTGCTCCACAGATTCCCTCAGAAAGTGAGAAATGAGGTGGGCTGATAAGGCAGAGCTCGGGGTGTTTAAAGCAGGGGTTAAGCTTGCAGAGGAGCTTCATAAAACCAGCTGCTTCCCCTCCTCATACAATGACTTGAGCCCATGGCCATGAAGACAACTCTCTCCTGGCTGCTTCTGGGCTTGGATCAGAGCTGTCTCCTCAAACCAAAGCTGTTCTGTGGCTCTGAGACCTTCAGCCCAGCTCCAAACCTCAGGCAGGTCCTCTCAGCCTGGCTGCCCTCAGCCAGCAGCACCTTTCCTATTCTTCCAGCATCTGCAGCACTCAAGGGCCAGAATTCACTCAAAACCCTGAGGGAGTTTGATTTGAGACCCTGGAGCTTGGACCTGTCCAAAATCCCCCCAGGGACTAACACAGTCGTGGCCCTTGTGGCTCCAGGGCTGAAAACAGAAAGCAGCCCCCTGGTTGATCTGCTTTCAGCCTCCCACAGAACATCTTGAGCAGGTGGGATGTGATGAACACGAGGTTCAACTTCAAGAAGCACAGAGGAGGTTTTGGAGAAGAACAAGGTAACCCTGTGCCACTGCCCAGGAAGCTTTTGTGCCTGATGCACCAACTCATCACCAAATCAATTGGGTTGGAAAAGAGCTGTAAGATCATCAAGTCCAACCTTCAACCACCACCTTGTGAACTGATGCCAAAGAAAAGGTTTTGGAGAACAAGGTAACCCTGTGCCACTGCCCAGGAAGCTTTTGGGCCTGATGCAGCAAGCAGGGAATCAATTAGGTTGGAAAAGCCCTCTGAGATCATCGAGTCCAACCTTTGACTGGTCACCACCTTGTCAGCTGATGCCAGAGGATTTGGAGAACAAGGTAACCCTGTGCCACTGCCCAGGAAGCCTTTGTGCCTGATGCACCAACTGATCAGAGAATCAATCAGGTTGGAAAAGCCCTCTAAGACCATCAAGTCCAACCTTTGACCACCATCCTGTGAACTGATGTCAAAGAAAAGGTTTTGGAGAACAAGGTAACCCTGTGCCACTGCCCAGGGAGCTTTTGGGCCTGATGCACCAACTGGTCACAGAATCAACTGTGTTGTAAAAGAGCTCTAAGATCATCGAGTCCAACTTTCAGCCACCACCCTGTGAGCCAATGCCAGCCCTCCCCACGCCCCCAGCCTGGTGGCAGGTTCCCCCCTTGCCTTTGGCCGTCACCGAGATGCCCATGGCCGCCTCCCTCAGCGAGCTCCTCTTCTTCCACCTGCCCTCGTCCACGTTGTACATCTCCACCACCTTCAGCGGCAGCTGGTTGGCCCCGACCCCTCCGACCACCATGATCCTCTTGCCCAGCGTGGCCACGGCCACCCCTGCCCTGGCCGTGGGCATGGGGGGCAGGGCTGTCCACTGGTCGGCCTCGGGGGAATAGACCTCGAAGGAGTCCACGGGGACCCCGCTGTCGTCGCAGCCCCCGATGGCGAAGACCTGCCCCCCGGCCTCCACCAGCGTGGAGTAGACCCTGCGGCTCGGGAGCGGGGCCAGGGATTTCCACTGGAAGTCCTTGGTGTTGGCCAGCTCCATGGTGAGGGGGGTGGGTTATGCTGCAGGGCAGAGCAGAGAATTGTGGAGA